AATATGTACTTTCTTTGGTTCCACATTGTTAAATTTTGTGCTATCTTTAACAAAGATAGATTTACTTGTGCTTGATTTATCAAAACTAGAAAACGTAATCCCACATTTATCATTTGCCTCTTACGCCTATCACTTTTTTGGGCTTGGTGCGCATATATAAATGGTGGGTGGCCCAAATCGATAGGCTCTTACCATATTAGAGTTTGACCTAACACAACCTTATAAACCCTTTGTAAATTGTATCTTTAACCAATGTGGAACTTGAGTTTTTTTCAATAATAATTTTGATATTTTCTAATTCCACATTAATGTCATTAACCTTACTTTTTAGAGATAAACTTTTTTTCTTTTGCACATAATGCACAAAATGCATTTTTTAATTCCTCATATAAAGGTTTATCATTTAATTCATAGTCACTAACATTTTTTGTTCTGGCCTGGGCCCCGGCCTGACCGGGAAGGCCCAACCCACATACACTAGGGGGAAGGCCCAAAGGAGTCTTCCTCATCTGTGTCGAGCACAAGACTCCCCGTTGACCAGACACTGCCCTGTCGAGCAGAACCTTCCTCATCTGTGTCAAGCACAAGACTCCCCGTCGACGAGACACTTCCCCCCGTCGGGCAGAACCTTCCCTCCGTCGGCCAGACACTGCCCCCGTCGGGCAGAACCTTCCCTCCGTCGGGCAGAACAACGTGCCCTCCACACGTTCTCCACGTGCCCCCCTCCGCGGGGACACGTCATCCACCAACTGCCCACCTCTGAAAGAGCAGGTCAACCCACTTTCCGGAGTTCACGGAGCAGTTGAACTAGGGCGAAGACCACGTTCTGGTCTTCACTACGCCACATAAGCCCTAGCAGTCACTTGGGTTGGGCCTGGCCATCCAGTCCAACTCAAATGACCGTTGGCCCTGCGTTGGGGTCTCTCAATAAATACCCTCTTCTCCAAGAGGGTCAGGTATTCTCTTCTTACCCCTTTTCTGTATTTGCTCTCACTCTTCCCAATTCCTTACTTTGGCATCAGAGTGTCTTGCAGGTACACCCCCTCCTCCTCTTCAACACCGGTGAGCAGGCAGCAGATCAACAGCGTGTGGCAAGTCCTTGGTCCCCTTTTGATCAGGCCAGATCAGTGGCGCCGTCTGTGGGAACTAAGCTTCCATGTTCCTCCGAGCAGAGAACCAAAGCTTCATCTCTCAAAACTCCAGGGTCAGGACTAGCCCACACCATGACGACGTTGTTCACAACTCCGACCACGTCCCTGTCACCAACGGTGACGGTCAGGTGGGGACATCTCAACTCCGTGAAGAGGGGCAGGACCCTCGCTGCCAACCAGCCAACCCTTGCCCTCTCCTTCATCGGGCAGAAGCTCTGTCGAGCAGAACCTTGGCTGCTAACCAGCTAACATTTGTTCTCTCCTTCGTCGGGCATAAGCTCTGTCGAGCAGGACCTTGGCTGCCAACCAGCTAGCCCTTGCCCCTCCTTCGTCGATCAGAAGACCCGTCGGGCAGGACCTTGGCTACCAACTAGCCAGCCCTTGCCCCTCATTCGTCGGGTAGAAGACCCGTCGGGCAGGACCCTGACTGCCAACCAGCCAGCCTTTGTCCTCTCCTTCGTCGAGTAGAGCCCTGTCTTCACGGGGCAAGACGGAGCATGGGGCCTACTACCTCGAAAACCTACACGGGGATCAACTAGCTCGACCATGATACGCCGAGAAGTTGAAAAGGTACTACAGTTAAACACTGCCCACGACGCCCAGTCGTCGCGACCACAAGGAGGCGACATGGTACCGCCGCACCTCCCCGCGTCTTCTAGAGACCAACAAAACAGCAAGCCTTGCCTTTGTATGCGCGGGCAGAAGGCTCTGCTCGACGGAGAACCCCTCGATCGAGACTCTCCATCGCTGTACCAAAATCGACAGGACACCCAGCTCGCGATGGGACGTTCACGCCGCGGGGATAAACTACCCCCGAAACGGCCAGGTAACGAAACCGGTCATCCGGCTATTTCTCCATACTACCGGAAACAGTTATCGTCGAGCTACCACCCTGGACAGGCCCAAAGGCATAACGAACATGCATTTCAAACAGACAAACATATATTTCGAGCATACAAAAGTGCAGAAATAAAACGAGCATAACAACATGCAGAAACAATACAAAGCACACACTTAAACAAAATTCCATAATACGGGCACAAGCCCAGAAGTCAAAATGTTACAATAAACGGGCACCACCCCCAGCCGTCGACCAGGACCTTGGCTGCCAACCAGCCAGCCCTTGCCCTCTCCTTCGTCGGGCAGGACCTTGGCTGTCAACCAGCCAACCATTATCCTCTCCTTCGTCGAGCAGAAGCTTTGTCAAGCAGGACCTTGGCTGCCAACCAGCCAACCTTTGTCCTCTCCTTCGTCGAGCAGGACCTTGCCTGCCAACCAGCCAGCCCTTGACCTCTCCTTCGTCGGGTAGGACCTTGGCTGCCAACCAGCCAACATTTATCCTCTCCTTCGTCGAGTAGAAGCTCTGTCGAGCAAAACCTTGGCTTCCAACCAGCCAGCTCTTGCCTTCTCCTTCGTCGAGAAGGACCTTGGCTGCCAACCAACCAACCTTTATCCTCTCCTTCGTCGAGCAGGACCTTGGCTGCCAATCAGCCAGCCCCTGCCCTCTCCTTCGTCGGGAAGGACCTTGGCTGCCAAATAACCAACCTTTATCCTCTCCTTCGTCGAGCAGGACCTTGGCTTCCAATCAGCCAGCCTTTGTCCTCTCCGTCGTCGAGCAGAAGCTTTGTCGAGCAAGACCTTGGCTTTCAACCAGCCAACCTTTCTCCTCTACTTCGTCGAGCAGAAGCTCTGTCGAGCAGGACCTTGGCTGCCAACCAGCCAACCTTAATCCTCTCTTTCGTCGAGGAGAACCTTGGCTGCCAACCAGCCTTTGTCCTCTCATTTGTCCTCTCCTTCGTCGAGCAGAAGCTCTGTCGAGCAGGACCTTGGCTGCCAATCAGCGAGCCCCTGCCCTCTCCTTCGTCGGGCAGGACCTTGGCTGCCAAACTGCCAACCTTTATCGTCTCCTTCGTCGAGCAGGACCTTGGCTTCCAATCAGCCAGCCTTTGTCCTCTCCTTTGTCCTCTCCGTCATCGAGCAGAAGATCTGTCGAGCAGGACCTTGGCTTCCAACCAGCCAACCTTTGTTCTCTCCTTCGTCGAGCAGAAGCTCTGTCGAGCAGGACCTTGGCTTCCAACCAGCCAACCTTTATCCTCTCCTTTGTCGAGGAGGATCTTGGCTGCCAACCAGCCTTTGGCCTCTCATTTGTCCTCTCCTTCGTCGAGCAGAAGCTCTGTCGAGCAGGACCTTGGCTGCCAACCAGCCAACCTTTATCCTCTCCTTCGTCGAGCAAAAGCTCTGTCGATCAGGACCTTGGCTGCCAACCAGCCAGCCTTTTCCCTCTCCTTCGTCGGGTAGGACCCCCTCCTCTTCCAAACCTCTGACAGACAGCTAGCAGATCGACGCCGCGTGGCAGGTCACTGATTCCCTTCTGGTCAGATCAGTGGCGCCGTTGGAGCCACCTCCTCGTCGTAGACGACCGTCAAATCGAACATGTCCATGCTCGCAACCCGCTCACGTCTGTTAGGAACACTCCCTCGACATCTTTGCCAGACAGTAGCTCTCCCCGGCGCACTTTCCCGCCTAAGCGCAACATTATCAAGTCCTCGCTCCCTTGCCTCGGAGCTACGACTTGGGGGCTCTTGTTCTATCTTGGGCACCGGCCTGACCGGGAAGGCCCATCCCACATACACTTGGGGGAAGGCCCAAATGAGCCTTCCTCATCTGTGTCAAGCACAAGACTCCCCGTCGACCAGACACTGCCCCGTCGGGTAGAACCTTACTCATCTGTGTCGAGCACAAGACTCCCCGTCGACCAGACACTGCCTCGTCGGATAGAACCTTCCTCATCTGTATCGAGCACAAGACTCCCCGTCAACCAGACACTGCCCCCCGTCGGGCAGAACCTTCCCTCCTTCGGTCAGACACTGCCCCCGTCGGGCAGAACAACGTGCCCTGTACATGTTCTCCACGTGCCCCCCTCCGCGGGGACACATCATCCACCAACTGCCCACCTCCGAAAGAGCAGGTCAACCCACTTTCCAGAGTTCACGAAGCAGTTGAACTAAGGAGAAGACCACGTTCTGGTCTTCACTACGCCACGTAAGCCCCAACAGTCACTTGGGTTGGGCCTGGCCATCCAGCCCAACTCAAATGACCGTTGGCCCTGTGCTGGGGTCTCTCTATAAATACCCTCTTCTCCAAGAGGGTCAGATATTCTCTTCTTACCCCTTTTTTGTATTTGCTCTCACTCTGCCCAATTCCTTACTTTGCCATCTGAGTGTCTTGCAGGTACACCCTCTTCCTCCTCTTCAACACCGGTGAGCAGACAGCAGATCAACGGCGTGTGGCAAATCCTTAGTCCTCTTCTGATCAGACCAGATCAATTTTGTTCATTATTTGAATGATGTAATACCATTTATATAAAGTTTGCACATTCTTTTTTTTTTATATGGAAATTGGAAGATGAACTTAATTAAAAATCTAAGATTCCTTCAACATTAGTGATAAAAACAAGTGGAAATAGAGAGTCTCCTTGGGGGAAGTCTTCTTCTTGTTTGAAAATCCACTGTAGGACTTCCACTAATCAGAATAGAGAAGGATTTAAAAAAGATTTGGAAAAGATGCATGCTTGGATCAAAGTTGTGAACCAGTCTCCATTTTTCATATATCCTTTTCTTTTGAAAAGATCAACAATACATTTTTTTCTTCGCCTCTTTGGCCAAGTCGTATATTCCCCATTTAATTCTAACATAACAAGTCAACATTATTAAATTATCAAAAAGATTAACGTATATGGAAAAATCAACAACATGCTCATTGAAGAATATAACCAACATCCTTATCTCACCTTTATATTTACACCTCACCTCATGTTGATCATTGAAATTGATACAAAACAATTTTGCAATGGCTCTCCTTCCCTTTCTTTGTTGTCTCTTTGTCCTAGTTGTATCTCAAGCCAAAGCCATAGATCCTTTTTCATGTGATAGCAATAGAGGTAACTACACAGCCAACAGCACCTACGACAAGAATCTTAAAACCCTTATATCCACTTTCTCTTCTCATAAAGAAATTAACTACGGATTCTACAATTTCTCATATGGCCAAGATCCAGACAAAGCATACGTCATAGGGTTGTGTCGTGGAGATCTTGAGACAAATATTCAGTGTCTCACAAACATAAATAATTCCTTTGCCTATCTTAAAAAACAGTGTCCAAATCAAAAAGAGGCAATTATGTGGAGTGGTGATGTAACTTTGTGGTACTCAAATCGCTCAATATTTAGCCTCGTAGAAACTGACCCTACAATGTATTTGATCTTTGAATTCGAAAGGATTGCAACTAATATGGATGCATACAACAAAGCACTGAGTAACTTGATGGCAAAACTTAGAATCAAAGCTGCTTCAGGTGACACTCGTCGGAAATACGACGCCGATACTGGAATTGATCCCGTGAATTATGAAACTATATACGGTTTTGTGCAGTGTATGCCTGATTTGTCTGGGCAAGAATGCAATGACTGCCTGGCCGAAGCAATTTCAGAAATTCCAAATTGTTGTAGTCGCAAGATGGGAGGAAATATTCTAAAACCAAGTTGTCGTCTAAGATTTGATCCTTATCCCTTCTACAATTCAACCGTTGTGTTAGACTCACTACCATCAACCAATAACACTTCTTTAGGTAAAACTTGAACACTTTACTTCTTTAGTTGTGTCTGTGTTGATGTAACTTTAAGGACTTAAATTCATTTGTGCAGGAGGAAATAGTAAAACACCAATCGTCATCGCCATAGCAGTGCCGGTTGCTGCGGTGGTTTTGGTACTTATTTTTATATGCATCTATTTAGGACTCAGAAAGCCCAAACAAAATTGTGAAGGTATGTTTAACTTGTACGTTATGCAAACTTACTTGTCATACAATTTTTTAAGGTAGATTCTTAGGTATTAATGAGTTTTATTTGGTTATTAATAAATTGTTATTAAAAATATAGTAAACTATGCAATAAATGAATGATAGATATATATCAACTAAATTCTATTAGTACTATGATCTGATTGGTTCAAACGAAAAAGATGAAAAGCTAGAGATTTTAATGAAAAGATGGAACGGGGAGGAGAGGTTTAAAAGAGGAGAGAAGAGAGAAAGAAAAATTTTAATTAAAAAATATTTAGCTCATAAGCAGAGCAGAAAGTTATTATTAATAATTTATATTTTTATTTATAATTTATTCAAGTATTATGAAATTCAAAAGGTAAAAAATTTATAAATAATCTTTCGTAATAACATAAGCATAAATAATTAAACATAAAATTTATATATTTAAATGATTAGAAAAGTTATAGATTACAATTTTAAATAATTGAGTAAATTTGATAGCAATTTTAATCATATAAAACAATCTAGTAAATGCATAAAATAACTTATTAATATATATATATATATATATATATATATATATATATATATATATATATATATATATATATATATATATATATATATATATATATATATATATATATAAAAAAAAATTATATATATATATATATATATATATATATATATATATTAAATAATAAAAATTTAATAAGTATAAAAATAAAAAACTATAAAAAAACAAAAAAGAAAGAAGCGGTTATAATTTATATTAAATAATAAAAATACAAAAAAAAAATTGAAGGTGAAGAACAATTATAACAAATTGATGAAAACAACATAAAAAAAATTATACAAAGAGAACCACTAAATGAAAGTAAATGAATAATTTTGAAATATTGTATTAAAACTGAGGATATTTTAATAAATAGAATAATTTTTTAAGTGTTAATACACATTTTAGTCTCTGCCATTTGAGGCGAATTCGGAAGAAAAAAAAATCCGTAAAAAAACACAGATTTCGTCCTTGCAATTTGAAAATTCTTTCATTTAATTTTGACTCCTTATTAGACACAGTCAATAGAATCTATGACATGACGCTGCTTTGTTGACTTTTATCTATTATTATAAAAACTTATCATTTTACTTTAACATTACTATTTATATAGATTATCAAATATCACAAAACTATACAATTAAAATTTGAAGAAAATAAAGCTTTATAGTATAATCTATAACAAATAGGCTCAAAGTAAATATTTCAATACTTTACAACATGCATTACTCGTCTTTGAGGTAGAGCTTTAACGATTATTATATTTTTTTACTACTCGAAAGGTTAGTCTATATAGTTACGCATAAATGATATTTTATAAAAAAAAGCATGTAATATTCGATCAAATCAATGAATGTAGCTTTACGTTAAGAAAATATATATTTCTCAATCTCTATTACATTTATTGTTATGATCACAAACGATACCTTTCAATAAATAAAGATTAAAAAACAGAGTTTTTGGGTGAACAATAAAAAGTCGGTTAGAACAATGAGAGGAAAAAGAAGGATTCTTAGGCAAATTGCTCTACTATTAACTTTCTCAGTATTACAAATGATTACAAGTGAATAACACAATCTAGCCTCACTCAACAACCTGAGTGATCTATCATATATATATATATATATATATATATATATATATATATATATATATATATATATAGACTAACTATTTAACTTACAACACAAGCTAACTAAACAATTGGATCCATAACACAAGGCCCAATTCGACAAACATTTCGACAATACATATTAGAACTGACTTCGACTACAAAACGTACCCTTCGAGTACAACATGCAAACCAACTTCAACTTCATGCTTGTCTCTTGTCGAAACACATGGAAGTTATTCCTCGACAAAGCTAGAGTTTGACCAAAAATCTCACAAATCTCCACCTTGGATCTAACTCTACAAAAAACAGGGAATAAATTAGCTTTCGTCATGCAACTTTATCAACTGCTTACAGTGGAAAACTTGCAACTTGGCAACGCCTTGGTGATCATATCAGCAGCATTGTCATCAGACGAAACCTTCAGCACTTGGACTTCACCATGCTCGATTATCTCTCTGACGAAGTGCAGCCTTACATCGATGTATTTAGTTCGCTCATGATAGGCTGAATTCTTCGACAGGTGTGTTGTACTTTGACTATCACATTTAACAGTGATACTTTGACCTTGGAGTTTCAGCTCCTTTACAAAACCTTTAAGCCACAATGCTTCTTTCACAGCTTTAGTGAAGGAAATATATTCTGCTTCAGTGGTTGATAAGACAACAACCTTCTGAAGTGTTGCTTTCCAACTGATTGTTTTACCGAACATAGGGAACACATATCTAAAAATAGACTTTTTAGAATCTATACAATCTGCATAATCAGAGTCGACAAATCCTTCGATTTCGACTTTGCTATCATCATCACAAGCTCTACCATAAATCAGAACTCGACTCAAAGATCCATTTATGTACCTAAGAATCTACTTTAAAGCTTGTCAGTGCTCATTTCCAGGATTGACCATATACCTGCTTATAAGTCTCACACCATATGTTATGTCTAGCCTCGTACATACCATATCATACATCAAAGAACCAACTACACTAGCATATGGAATGCTACTCATACAGATTCTTTCAGCTTCAGTACTCGGACTTTTAGTAGTACTTAGCTTAAACTAAGGATTTGTTGGAGTCACAACAGACTTTGAATTTGACATACCAAATCTGTCGAGAAGCTTCCGTAGGTATGTCTCTTGAGATAAGTACAACTTTGACTGCTTTCTATCTCTTCGAATGTCAATCCCAAGAGTCCTGGTTGCAACTCTCAGATCCTTCATTTTGAACTCCTTATAAGATCAGCGTTCACCTCCATTACATCTTCAACACTGTTGTTGGCTATGAGGATATCATCCACATAAAGGAACAAAATAACAAGTGAATTTCTAGGTCGAAATATGAAGTAAACACGAAACCAATGTGTGCCATGAACTTGTCGAATCTCCTATTACACTGTCGAGGAGATTGTTTCAGGCCATACAACGACCTATTCAGCTTGCACACATAATCTTCCTTATCCTTTTCTGCATACCCTTCAGGTTAACACATCAGGATTGTTTCATCTAGGTCACCATATAGAAATGCTATATTCACATCCATTTGCTCAAGTGTCAAGTCGAACTTCGCCACCATAGCCAACAAAATTCTAATGGATATATGCTTTACAATAAGCGAGAACACATCATTAAAGTCAACACCTTCTTTCTGAGTGAACCCCCTAGCAACCAGCCTTACCTTAAAGCGCTCTGACATAGCTCCTTCTATTCCTTACTTGACCTTGAAAATCCATTTACAACTGACTAACCTTACTCCTGCAGGTTTCTCAATCAGCTCCCAAGTGTTATTATCATTAAGAGATTTCATCTCGTCATCCATGGCTTTTCGCCATTCAGTCTGATTTCAACTCTTCATTGCTTCCTTGTAATCTCTAGGTTCTTCCTCAAGCACCTCAGCTACAAAAATTAAGGCAAAAGCTATAAAATCTACATAACCAAGTCTGTGAGGTGGCTTGATGACTCTTCTCGACTTATCTCTTGCCAGTAGGTAGTCATCGACATTTTCCTCAGTCTCTTCAGCATCTTTCTCTTCTTCTTTGACTTCATCTGGGTTATACACTTCAGTATCATTATGCTCCACCTCAACAGGAATCTCTACCTGTTTCAGCTCCTCTTTAGATATTTCTACACTTCGACCAACATCACCAGTTCTCTTGAATGCCATCTCAACTTCATTGGAAACTACATCACGACTTGTAATACATCTTTTGTGACCTGGTTCTAGGCACCACAACATCTAACCTTTGACTCCCTCAGGATATCCAAGGAAGATGCATCTCAGAGCTCTAGGTTTGACCTTGTCTTTCCTAATATAAGCATAGGCAAAACAACCAAATACTCTCAGTTTGCTGAGATCTAGTGCTTGACCCGACCAAACTTCTTCCGGTGTCTTCATTGCCAAGGCAGTCGAGGGACATTTATTTATCAGACAAGCTGCTGTTGAAACAGTCTCTGCCCAGAACACCTTCTTCAATCCAGCACTAACTAACATACATTTAACCCTTTCAAGGAATTCTCGATTGAATCTCTCAACTAGGCCATTTTGTGGAGAAGTATCTGCTACAGTCTTATGCCTTGCAATCCCAGACTCAACACAGTAACTGTCGAAAGCTTCGTTGCAGAACTCAAGGCCATTGTCGATTCTCAACCTCTTAACCTTTCTTCCAGTTTGAGTTTCTACCAGAATCTTCCAACTTTTGAAATTCTCAAATATTTCATCCTTAGTTTTCTGAATGAATACCCATAATTTTCTGGAATAGTCATCAACTAAGGATAAAAAATACCTTGCACCTTAATGTGAAAGATTCCTTGCAGGTCCCCAAAGATCAACATGGATGTAATTAAGGGATCCATGTGTTTTTTGTTTACCTTTGTTAAACATCACCTTACAGGATTCACCAAATATACAAGATTCACAAAACTCTACCTTTTCGACTTTGTCACCACCTAACAGGTTCTGTTTCCCCAATTCGACCAGACCTCTTTCGCTGACATAGCCCAATCTCATGTGCAATAATTCTGTCTTTGACACAGGTTTCATGGATACAACATTTGTCGAACCACTTACAACCTTAGCCTCAAGGGTATACAAGTCTTGTTTCTTCACGCCTCTCAAGACTTCCTTTGACCCTTTCATGAATTTCAGGATACCTTGCTCTCCTTTGAAGATATATCCCTTCTTGTCGAGTTCACTAAGAAAAATTAAATTCCTCTTAAGATCAGGTACATACCTAACCCCGGTCAATAGCCTTATTGACTCATCATGAAGCTTGAATCTTACAGATCCAATACCTTCAATCTTGCATGCTTTATCATTTCCAAGCAGCACTGATCCACCATCTTGATCACATAACTCTTCAAACACATTCTTGTTTGGAGTCATATGCCAAGTACATCCATAATCCATAATTCACTCTTTGCAAGAGTTGTTGCTCGACACCATAAGAACATCAGATGATTCATAATCATCTTGCACAATAGTTTCATTGTCATTGCCCTTACCTCCATGATTATTCAGGCGCTCAATGAACATATTTCTTGCGTGACCCTCCTTCTTACAATGATAATATTTAATACCAGAAATATCACCACCACAAGACTTCTGCTGAGTCTTACCTTTCTTCTTCTCAAACCTATCATCCCTCTTCAAGGATTTCGCCTTCATGGACAACCTTTGCCAACTGATGATGATGGTTTTTGCTTATTTCATTCGTTCAAATCCTTCGAATACAAGGTTGCTTGAACTTCTTCAAAGGTCAGAGACTTTCTTCCATACAATAGGGTTTCTTTGAAGTGAGCATGTGACTTAGGTAAAGAACACAATAATAACAATGCTTGATCTTCATCATTGATGGTAACATCAATATTTTCAAGATCAAGAATCAGCTTGATGAACTCATTCAGCTACTTCGTCAAAGCTTTATCTTCAGTCATCTTAAATGAATACAAAGCTTGCTTCAAGTACAAATGATTCACCAAGGATTTTATCATAAAATCCTTCGATTTTTATCCAAACACCAGTTGTCGTCACCTCCTTCAAAACATGTTGAGAACTTTGTCACCAAGAATCAGAACAATTGTGATGTGGGCTTTCTTGGTCATCGTTGTCTTTTACTTCTCTGTCAATGTAGCATTCATGGCATCTCCTCCCTTTAATGCTTCTTGCAAACCCTGTTAAACAAGAAGGGCTCGCATCTTCAAATGCCATAAACTGAAATCATTAACTCCGATGAACTTCTCAATTTCAACCTTTGTTGACTATATCTTCTCCATGCTCACCACACCAGTTTGTTGTAATCACAAATGATACCTTTCAACAAATAAAGATTGAGAAACAGAGTTCTTAGGTGAACAATGAAAAATGGTTAGAACAAAGAGAGAAAGAAGAAAGGATAAAGAAGAAAGAAGAAGAAGGATTATTGGACAAATTGCTCTACTATTCAGTTTCTCAATATAACAAATTATTACAAGTGAATAACACAATATGGCCTCACTCAACAACCTGAGTGATCTAGCCTATATATAGACTAACTAGTTAACTTACAACACAAGCTAACTAAACAATTGAATCCATAACACAAGGTCCAATTCGAAAAACATTTCGACAATACATATTAGAACTTACTTCGACTACAATATGTACCCTTCGACTACAGCATGCGAACCAACTTTGGCTTCATGTTTGTCTCCTGTCGAAACACATGAAAACTATTCCTCAACAGAACTAGAGTTCGACCTAAAATCTCATATTTATATAAACTAATTATCACACATGAAAACTAATAAACTTGTTCATATTGGTTATTATGTTTGGAAAAACTAATAAACTTGTTGATATTGGTTATTATGTATATCTTACATTAGAAAAACTAATAAACTTGTTCATATTGGTTATTATATATAGCTTACATTAAAAAAACTAATAAACTTGTTCATATTTGTTATTATGTAAAGCTTACATTGGAAAATATGGTGATGGTGATGGAGATGAAGAAGAAATGACAAATGTTGAGTCATTGAGATTTAACTTTAATTTCATACTAGTTGCTACAAATGGTTTCTCCGATTCTAATAAACTTGGACAAGGTGGATTTGGAGTGGTTTATTTGGTAAGAAAATTTATTTATTTATATATCACATTTTTATAAAACATTACCATAACAGAAATATAATTTATCATACTTAGCTAAAAGTGAAATATGTTCAGGGAAAACTGCCTAATGGACACATGATTGCTGTTAAAAGGTTGTCAACAAATTCTTCCCAAGGAGATGAAGAATTTAAAAATGAAGTATTATTAGTAGCGAAGCTTCAGCATCGAAATTTAGTTAGGTTGCAGGGTTTTACTTTAGAAGGAAGAGAAAGACTACTAATTTATGAATATGTTTCAAATAAAAGTCTTGATTTCTTCATATTCGGTAGGTTTTAGTGTATCAACTTAATTATATATTTTCATAATATAAGGATTGTTTTTTTAACTATTCAAATTATATTTTTATGTCGAGTGTTGTTCGGATATACTAACTGCTAAATATAGTTTTGAAATTCATATTTATGATTTAATTTGTTGTACATGTAGATGCAACCAGGAAAAAACAGTTGAATTGGGAAAAACGCTACAATATCATAAATGGTATTGCTCGAGGTCTTCTTTATCTTCATGAAGACTCCCACCTACGCATTATACATCGTGATCTCAAAGCAAGTAATATTCTTTTAGATGATGAGATGAATCCTAAAATATCTGATTTTGGATTGGCAAGATTGTTTATTAAAGGCGAAACTCAAGGAAGTACAAATAGAATCGTTGGAACCTAGTAAGTTTCTCATTTTTCTTAAGATTATTAGTTTTCTTAAGAGCTATATTTCATTCAACTATAGGTAAAATGTTAATTTCCATTCTTTACTTAATTAGTCATATGTCGTAATAATATATTCAAAAAATTACATGTTTGATCTGATTATTATAATTTATAAAGTTATAAGATTCAAACCTTTTAAAAGGAAAATAGCATAAAACACTCTTAGAACTGAGTCAATAATACCATTAATAACATGTAGCAATTGAATTAGTGGAAAACATTAAATTGATATATAAAAATACTTATAAGTAACTAAGCTTGTTTATATTGGCATGCAGTGGATATATGGCACCAGAGTATGTAATGCATGGAGAATTTTCTGTAAAATCAGATGTTTTTAGTTTTGGAGTATTAGTTCTTGAGATTATCAGTGGGCATAAAAACAGTGCAAGCATTTGTCACGGGGAAAATGTGGAATATCTATTGAGCTATGTAAGCTACGTTTATGTTTATAATTTATTATTATTATTAAAGGTATAAAATAAATTAGAATATCATGTGACCTTAATTCTCTTATATGCAATTTTGAAAATTCTTTTAGGCGTGGAGAAGCTAGATAGAAGGGAACGCAACTAATATTATAGATCCATCACTGAACAACATATCACAAAATGAAATAATGAGATGCATTCATATTGGTTTACTCTGTATTCAAGAATATGTAGTTGACAGACCAACCATGGCTACTGTTGCACACATGCTTAATAGTCATTCTCTCACTCTCTCAATACCTTCCAAACCTGCATACTTTATGGGAAGTGGACCTAAAAGTCTACCAAATATGCAACTACTGCTTGACGATGCATCTGTAAAAAGATCGAATGAATCTATTAACCATGTTTCGATTACTGAACCATACCCTAGATAAATTACAATAATACAAGATGGTTCATAAGGGTGATGTATACTATTTTATCATTTATATTTTTTTTAAATGTTATTAATTTATTTAAAGACATAACTTGTTAAACTCACAAAAGATAGTTTTATTAGAAATATAGGAGGTATAGATTACTAATTCATTACTTACTAATTGTTGAGGCTATATAAAATCCTTGATGTAATATTTTTCACTTTCTTTTTTAATTTTGTAATATTTCACTTTCAATACAATATAACAAATTTTTGAGATTTCTCTCTTCTTTTTTATGGGTGTTATGTTTTCTAACATGGTATTAAAGGAAAATTAGTGTCCACTTTGAAGGAATTTTTCCAAATTGGTTGAAGAGATTGGGCGTGTTGGATCAGGGTACGCGCGCGCAACCCCTGGGTGCTGCAGCTTACCCCTCCTTTGTTTTTTTAACTTTTGGGCCTTAAGTTCCTTTTGTTTTTTCTTTCTTTCAACAAACCACCACACTACTATTTGCGACCCCCTTTGTTTATTTTTATTTATGTTTATTTTGATTAAACTAGTATTAACATGAATAATAATAATCAAGAGTTATATCACATTATAAAATACAAATTATTTTCACAATTAGAACTTCAAATCTTTTTCTCAAATAAAACGAATGAAAAAAGTATCTATTGGATGTATATCCACGGGGTCCACAAGTGTTTGGATACCAGCCTTATAGCTTGCCTTTCGAACATTTGTCATCCTCACAAATTGTAATAGCACAATCGAATTCAAATTGTTCCTTTGCGGATGAAAAAGGATCTATTAGATGTATATCCATGTGATCCCCGAGTACTTGGATACAAGTTGTATAGCTTACCTTTTGAGTGTTTGTCGTGTTTGAGGAATCTTGGCTTGATTCACGTCGAAACTCTTTTTCATAATAAACTCGGATGAAAAAGGATTTATTGGATGTATGTCCCCGTGATCTCCGAGTACTTGGATACAAGTTGAAATTCTGGAAAGCAGATTATAGATGTCCTATAACATGTCACGACATTGTTCTCTACATAACATTAAAAACAAGGGCAGAATAATCAAGCTGATACTTTTAATATCAGCAACAGAAGCACAACAGATCTTTCGACATCTGTTACAACATGTTAATCAAAAGGAAAATGTTGAACTGTAAATTTGCATAATGATAAATAACATAAGATAGGTTAACCCAGTTCAGTGCAAATCACCTACTTCTGGGGGCTACCAAGCAAGGAAGAAGAGTTCACTATCAGTAGTATAGTTTTATGTAAAAAAAAACCTATGGTTTATAGTAAACAACCTCTGGTTTAACTATCTCTACCCAATGAAAACTTTATCATTAGAAGTCACGTCTAATTGATAAGAGAAACCCATCTTACTCCCTTAATCACAACTTGTGATATCTAACATTTACAATCAACAACAATTGCATCATCCTACTTGAAAGACTCATCTTTCAATACAAAGTTCAGCCAAGCAACCTTGACTAACAATCCTACTCGAATTCTATTAGATTTGCTTCAAAGCTTCATCTAAGAAAAATACACGACTCATTACCTATAGGTTTCTGAATCTGCATAAACAGTTATATCTACCACAATGTATCAAACTGATACAAAGGGAGACTTACAACACAAGAAAGCTTATGACTCTTAAAACCATAAACCCTTATTTTTTACTTTACAAGTATTACACCATGATTAGTTACTTTCCCTAGGTTTAGGTCTTCCTTTTATAATCTTCATTAGTCTATGGGCTTCGAAATATCTGTTTTATTAGTCTATTTTATAATCTTCATTAGTCTGTTTTATAATCTTCATTAGTCTATGGGCTTCTTATTGGAACATCTTGTGAAACATCCAGTTTTACCAAAATTTGCTCAAATCTGCAGAACCTTCAATCTCCCCCTTTTGAATAATTTTGGATAAAACTCCTTAGGTAGAAAAAGAAAGTTCGAAAGTCATTCAATTTCAACCAGGGAGTGGAGGTTATGATTGGCACATTTCTGAGGCTCCCCATATCTGCTAAAATTCCTAGCTGTATGTTGGTGTACATGAGGAAGATGATATAACACACTCCCTCTCAAACCTATACTTGCCACGGAGAGATAAATCTTCCTTTTAAGGGGCATAAGAGAACCCTTAAGGAGATCCAGAAAGAGCTTAAGAAGAAGCAGATATAGTATACGTAACACAGAGTACATAAAGAATGTAACTCAGGTTAGGATGTTAGAACATCCCATCCAACATCCTTGCAAAACAACAGTAGGATGTTAATCGAGATGAATACACACCCATTCTCCCCCTTTTTAGCCAAAAATTTGCAAAAGAAGCCAACATAGTTCCATATCTACATGGTACTTACCCAAACCCGGACAAAAGCCATGAAGATACAACCCAACACAAGAAACACAACCTGAGAATCCAGAAACAGCGACCCCTTTTAAATAAATAGGCTGTTTCTCTAGGAATTAATGGTTCATAGAAGTTACCAATGAATAATTCAATGGGGAAATAAACTTAGGTAGGTAACTTCACCTTTAATGAATGTGCATCGTCCAACTAGGATTTGACTCTTTCAAAGAAAGCACATGCATCAAGACACATGTTTAACATGTCTTCTCTTAGGCACACGCTCTACCGTCCAAGAAACACGTCCAAAGAAAATAACTTGAAGCAACCACAAGTCTTAATCAAAGTCCTAACACTTTGTTAGACTTTGTCCATTCCACCTGGTAAACTTTGAAGCATAGTCACAGTGTCTTTCACTGATCCTAAAGAATACTCCTTTCATTAAGAAGTAAAAGCAACTGATTAAGATGATAAGATATTTCTTCAAACATCTCCCAGTTAAGAAGAAAGACTCCCAAAAGCCTTGTCTTATTTTGCATAGAAAAATAAATTCTCCCAGATAAGAACAAAAACTCTTAGAACACTCCCAAAAAGCTTGTATAATGTTGATTCAAACCATTGACACCCCTAACGATAGAACCAAGTCTAGACTGTCAAGTCCACCATGAACATCACAGTAACAATGTCACCACATCTTATCTGACATTACACCCTCACCAGAGGAACATAATCACAAACTGCTTGACACTACAAACAATCTTGATAATCAACTGCATTACTGTAGCCACAGATCCTAGATAGAAGTATAACTCCCCCTATCAAGGATAACCAGTGCTCCTTTTCCATAAGAACACCTTAACATGAATGGAAAACATAAGACTCATATTCATGTCTTCAAGAGTTCACTCCTTGTTCAACATACCCGCTGAACGCATTCACTTACTGCTTGATCCATAAGCAATATGTGTACCACAACAGTACACCCATCAGACAAAAGATATCCCCTTATCTATTATAAAAGATGCTCATTTCAGCAAGAAACACCCAAAATCACCACACGATATCTCATGACCAACTTCATGCCCATATAGTGAGAAGGTACCAGGATTACCATCCTTGTATTATAACTAAAGAAATCTTGGATTGAGATTAAAAATCACCATTGATCACTCTCATCCTGAACCCATCCATACCCTGCGTAAATCCACACTGAATCTTACAGCCATGGATATCCATGTTCCTTGAGAAAAGAATCCAATTGAACTTGGAATGCTTCATATTCCTCAAAGAGACATACAGAGCCTCTTAGTTTGTTAGTTATCCAAAATGTCATTCACACTTGAAGGACATCAGATACATGCTCCAGAAATCCTCAACTTACTTTCTTCATAAGCACCAAACTGATCTACTTCTTTCTAGAGTTACTTGCAGTAGAAAACACCATTTCTCCACAAGTATTATAACCTCAGCATGAGTCAATGAACAAGATAGGAACCCTATAATCCAAGACAATCTTCACCTCATCATTCTCCCATATGATAAGTAAGAACAATTTTGATTCAACTGATGAATATCCACTTCCATAATCTGAGCTCCAAGTTCAGCAAACATAATGATGTTCTAGCATCAGGTAGGACATCCTAATTCTATCACAGGCACCATACACTATGGTTCTTGATACAATAACCACTTGGAATTACTATCTGCATAGTAATCCAATATGAATATATTTAGAGAACACAACTCTACCAGTTTAAACAACAAGAAATCCAGATAACATAGAGAGAATTAAACTCTCATACATCTCCTAAAAGAAGGCATTCATCCTTAATTAACTTAGGGCTTCTACCGCAAGCTCCAAGACATGAACAACACCAGAACCTCCTTTGGTCTTCAAACAACTACCTTTCTGCATAAGAGTAATTTTCTCCAAGTACACTCCTTGAATAACCAAATGCCACTGTTTGGTTAACTCAGCTTCCTTCAGAGCTCCAGAAAATCTTCTGATATACTAATGAAACCTGATCTTCAAGTTGCATATCTTACTTGCTCCATAGCAAGGCATCTTAGATACACTAAGACTTGGACCTGTAACATCTACTCCTTCTTGCAGCTCTCGCAAACTGCATGAGATAGACATTTTTTAAGCATTAATTACATTCATACCCGAGAATATCAACTTATCTTCAGATGATGTACCATTACATCAACTAAGACCCTGAAGTTCAGTTTGATGTTAGAAAATTTGATAAGACATCCCGCTGGTGAAATCATTCCTTCATTATGCTACTTAGAAGAACCTCATCACTATAATAGAACAAGAGTTCCATGTTCTCATATACTTGATTAATGATATCAAGTTTGAGTAAACAACCTCTATTCTGCTTTATTGTACCACAACAAATACCTTGAAAGGAATTTGCTTCAGGAATTCCTCTTCAGAGAAATCAAACATGCCAAAGCTTAATTTTTCAAATGAGATTATTTATACAAGAACTTTACAAAAAGAAATCCAACTTTCCTTAAGTAGATACTTCTTCAGAAGGTCAGAGATAATCACCACTTATCCTTGACACCTGCTGCACTCCATTACACCTAGATCAGAAATAAACTGATCCAAGGTCAATTCATCAAGATGAT